CCGCTACTACCTCTACCGCTATGACTAAGTTCTCCTTCGGCCCACTTCGTCTTCGGGCATACTGCAGACCACCTCGCACAAGTCGCTGTAGCAGCGCTTCCGCATGGCTTACGCAGGAATGAATGAATGACTGGGCACTGCCTCTTGATTTATACTTCTGTAACTCGTTGGTCTGCCCCTTTCCCGTGCCCGTGGTGCACACAGTCCCATACGGTACTTGCTTGACTGGACCAGGACTGACTGGGACTGGTGCCGCTGACTCAGCAAGGGTGGACTTCACCACTTGCCCACTTGCCTCTGTCTAGACGTGAGCCAACTTTGAAAGGCCACTCCTGGGACCTTCCGGAAGTCTGTAGTCCTGGCCTTTCGAATACTGTAGCAGCTACAACATTGACCTTTCAGGGCTGTAGCAGCTACGACCTTGACCTTTCAGAAGTCCTACAGCTACGACGTCTAGAACACCCTAAGACCTCTATCCGACAGGTCTACAGATCAAACCCCTACAACCTGCGGACCCTACAACTGCCTACCGACAGTTATGAATACACAGGTCACGGGTTCAACTCTCGGGGTCAACGCAGGTATTGTACACAGGTATGGTAAAGTCTAGGGATCGAGCCCTGGGACCTGCATTCGCTACTGCTAGCAGGTGAATACCGTTTCAGGGAAGCTGTTGACGTCGCAAGTGGCATTGTAGATAGGCTAGATAGGATCTGCCATTCGTAGTCTGGGCACTGAGTGCCAGATAGGAATTCCACATTGGTTCATTGTTGATGGTGATGAGACTATTCCAACATTGTCACTTGTGAGCTTTTGCTTTGCTCTTATTTGGTGGAACTCAAGTTGCAATTCCATGGCTACGATCCAGACCACCGGACAGGGATCCGGACCATCCGTGGTCCGGGGTCCAGGGTCAGGGTCCGGATCTCAGTCCGGATGTGTGGGCCCCAGCCCAACGGGCAAAATTTTTTTGGGTGGTCCAGGGCGTTTGCTCATGCCCTGGGCTGCCCCAAAAAAATGGTGCCTGATTTTTTATTCCCCTGGCCAACGATCCGGAAGGCCCGGAAAGTCTACCAGGGGGTTTGGTAACTTCGGTTTTGTTTCCTACCTGCGGCGCAAGTGTGCGGTGCACCCGGAGCAGTGCGGTGGTCACCGATGCACAAGAAAAAAAAAAGAAAAAAAGTCGCTGTTATGTGTGACAACACGCGAGAGAGAGAGAGAGAGAGAGAGAGAGAGAAAGAGCAAACAAATAGCTCCTTATAATTTATTAGAAAACCCCTGCGGGTTACCCGAGAGGCCCCTGCAGATAATTAGCAAGGGCCTTCTCACCATGAACCAAGTAATGCTCATAGCCATGCTAGGGTCATGGCACGCCAAGTATATATGCTGTGGATTCACATTAAGGTCCATGTTCAGCAGTTATGGGACCACTAAGCACGCGAGTTTCTGGGCAGTAGTAGGCCAACTCACCAAGTGCTTTTCAGGGCTTCCCCCCACTACTCACCAAATGTGCAAAACTAGAATGAATCTTCTGCTAGAACATGGAACCATACGCCGCCATATGTTTCGTCTTCTGTGCAAGTAGTGGCGAGTGGAGCAAGGCCCTTAGGGCCACTGCTCGTAGGAAAAGGAAACAAAAGAAAGAGTCGGAATGAATCTTCTGCTAGAACATGGAACCATACGCCGCCATATGTTTCGTCTTTTGTGCAAGTAGTGACGAGTGGAGCAAGGCCCTTAGGGCCACTGCTCGTAGGAAAACGAAACAAAAGAAAGAGAGAAATGAATCTTCTGCTAGAACATGGAACCATATGCCGCCTAGTGACGAGTGGAGCAAGGCCCTTAGCGCCGCTGCTCGTAGGAAAACGAAACAAAAGAAAAGAAAGAGCTACAGTAGCAAGTAGTTATAACTTGTGACCCATAACTGCTGGAAAGCCGACCTGACTTCGGATCAGAACATATATGGCTGGCCTGCTCCGCTCTCACACGAAATTTGCCGAACGTTTCTTGAGATATTGGACCCTTACAGATGCACTACTGGTGTCCCTCGGGAATACTCCTTTGTCGTCGTCCTCCTCTCCTCTTGTCTTCCTCCTCGTCTCCTCCCCCTCCTCCTCCTCCTTTTTGGGTTATTTGTTTTTTAATTGGCCCACTTCTCTAGTAATGCTTGTCATCTTGGCGCAGGGGCCATGCTAACCTTGCCCTTGGGACATTCATTAACATTGGAAGGAGAAGATTAGCATGGCCCCTGCACATGGATGACACACTTTAACTGAGAAGTAGGAGGAGTAGAGGTTTTTTTTTTTTTTTTTTTTTTTTTTTCCGGGGATCTTGACCAGGATCCTGACCAGGTTTCCGGACCGGTCCGGTAAGTCCGGAATATTCCGGTTTTCCGGAAGTCTAGATGGGCCAATCGGTCCGGGGTCCGGGGTCCGGAATCGGTCCGGCGTAGCTATGTGCAATTCTGCTTTTGGTTTGGGGTCGAGATTATCTGATTTCATGTGTATGATGTTGCTTGGTTTCTGGAATTCGCTATCACTCATTTTCCTTGCATTTTGGTATCGGAGCTGTGGTACGTTGCGCTAATCTGGCACTTGCCATCTGCTTATCCGGTGCATCCACAAGGGTAGCTGGGTGAGCGACCGTGGATGATATCCAGTGACAAGGGAGAAGGCAAGCAAGCAACCCAAGTGGAGAGGGGATCACCAGGAAGGCTAAGAGGTGATAATTGGGTGTTTCGCAAAGTGATGAGAACTATCTGATGTGCGATTGATGCTGAGGTGGAACGGCGGTATAATGCTGGTTGCGCCGAGGCAATGATTGGTCGTCGCAATCGACGTCAGGTCATCTGGTGAGAATATCTGTGGTTGGGGGCAGCTATTTTGAGGTACATCGCTCTAAACCTTATCTACCCTCTTCGAGACTTCTTACCGTGAGGATGTGTGTTCTGTCTTGGGAGTCCTCTCATGTGAGGAGTCGAGTGCGCTCAACCTTGAGAGTCGGCATTGTTCACGTGGAGCATCTGGAAGGAGAGGGCGTTGCCATCTGAAGGGCCCTGGACGAAGCACTGGGTCACGGTCACCATGCCAACCCACTGGGAGTAGAGCACGAATGCTTTGCTGCTTTGTCCTTTGTCTGCCTGCTGTGCTGTAGATGGGTCATGAGGGGCAGGCCAGCCCTACAGTGGAGATGACTACCGGACGTCTATAAATAAATACCGGCAGGGTACCTTCCATT